AGGCAGATCTGATTCAGGTGTCTTTCCATTCAGGCCACACAAGCCTGGACACATGCTGCCTCAGCAACAACAGTTTCCAAAGGATAGCTCTTGCTTATTGCAGTCTCTTCCATTTGAGAGTAAAACCCAACCATCTTCGATTAGATGTTGAGCTATCTGTTCTGAGTTACCAGGCGCACTTTTCCTGCAGACCTGGCTCTTCCAGTGTGACTTACCAAATTTATACAGTGTAAGAATACATACATAAAACCCACACACTTACACCTATGATAAAAATTATAGACCTTTCATTTCTTTGTATTTTAAATGATAAAGACAGAATATCAACCAAAAATCCAGAAAAATCTCTCTATCATTTAAAATACACCTATGATAAAAATTATAGACCTTTCATTTCTTTGTAAATGGGCAAACTTACAAAATCTGCGGGGGATCAGATAATTATTTTCCTCACTGTATCTCTTTGTCTAGCGCATATCCATAAAAAGGGGAATATCATTTAAATTTAAACCCTTACATCTACACTCTAAGGCTCTGTTCACACATGCAAGGTGTAACCTTTCAGATGTGCCCACTGTACACACTGAAGTAAATGACAGCGCGACAGCTGCTGCATTTGTAGGCAGCAGTCCACATGTAATCGTATATTATTATTATAAAACAGGATTTATATAGCTCCAACAGTTTGCGCAGCTCTTTACAATATAAGGAAGACATTACAATACAAATTCAAGACAAGATGGTAAGGAGGGCCCTGACCGTGAGAGCTTACAAGCTACAATTACATGTGGTTTGGTATAGATTATAGTCCTTCGAGGCAAAATCCAGGGACAATCATCTATTTCAAAAGGCATGTACGCTTACATGCGGTCTGCCATTGACAGATGCGGTCGGTCAATTTAACAGGGACACCTCGCATTCCTGCCACAAGAATCCCAGAAGGTCCCGTGTGAATAGGGCCTAACTTTGACCCGCAGATCTCTGTGGTTCACCCCCAACTGATCAACTATTAACAGTCTGCAAAAATACTTTCACAGGGCTTCAAAGTGAAAGCAATATGGGGCTGAAAAAAGGCTAGGGGGGAAAAGGTAGGGGAAAGGCCATCAGCAAGCTACTAGCTTATGGAAAATTCAATAATCAAGCAGGTATAATTCTTCATGGGTTTGCCCATACAGGAAAGATATATCCAAGTATTGCTTGCAGTTTGTCTCTAAAGTCAAACCCTGTAGATCTGATGGTAAGTTGATGTCATCGGCAGTGAAGTTCTGATGCTTTGTACCACCTGTGCCTTTGCAATAAAAAATTCAGTAACTAGCTACTGAATCTAGTTAATATATCATGAGACTGTTATTCCATACGTGAACCTCAGCCTTCATAATATTTAAGTTTACATAACAAACGCTTACAATTAAAATATTTAACATATGTTTGAGGTTTTTTGTGCTTCTAAACCCTGATAAAATATAAATGGGGCACAACAATGTATCTATATAGTTAACTCTTTACAAAGAAAGGAAAACATTTTTTTATTTCAAAGCCTTTCTGGACAAAAAAAACAAACCAAACCTCCCCTTGCATTGGGGCGACCCATGCACTGCAAGGGTTAAATGTTTGTTTACTGACTTTACTCACTTTTCTCCCCTCCACTCTGCCTGTGGAATGTTGCTGGGCATCCTCACATCTAATGCAATGCAGGGCGTTATGGGGGGGGGGGGGGGGGTCTGCAGGCAAAGACTGGTCTAATTCACAGTGGGTCACATAGCCTGGTGATGCTACTTTACTTCTTTCACTCCCTTCCCCCCAAGGCACGCAGAGTGATGCGGAGCGGGCCTGAAAAGGGGTAAGCCTGAAAAGGCTGAAGCGATATGATGGGACATGTGACCTTTTCTGACTTAGTTTGGCCCACTTCCTGGGCCATACTGATGAAGATTAATTAGTAAGGAGAGAGTAGGCACGGCTTACCGAGTGTAAGAAGGGGAGAACTGTGGAGGTAATGCTGCAGATGCTCTATTAGCCTGCAGATTGTTGCTACCAATGACAAGGAAGGATAATTGACTAGCAGGATCAACAGGTAATTTATTGGGTATATTTGAATGCACAAAGGCATACAGATGTCCGAAAAAATATTTACATTTCTTAAACGTTTTAAAAACACTGTAGCAGCAGAGCACTGCATTACGTTAATGATTAATTAAAGCATAAAGTTTGGAATAGAGGCAATAGCCCGTGTTTGCCTCTATTCTGTTCAACACACAGAACGCAAGCTTTCTGAATTGAGCGCTGAGGAGTGAATCGATTTACACATTCTGAGCAAATCCCAATTTTTTGCTTCATGTAACTAAATTGATGCAAACTTCGCCCATCTGTGAAAAATCATCCAACTAAATCATGATTGCCTGGATACCGGAATCGCATAATACTCTGCAGCTCAGAAAGGTATAAATGCCGATACTCAAGCAAATAGCAGTTTTTCTTGATCTGATCTTCTCAATTCAAATGCATTAGGTTTCTTTCTTTTGTATTAAATTAGAAATTATTCTGCTGTGTGGTCCACCATTCCGAGATTCATTGACATGTAAAGTATAATGGGTATATAGCATACCTGGTGCATATGGCTACAAGTACAAGCGAGAAGAGAAGAAAAAAAAAAAGTCAATAAATTGATTGCCTAGTGTTGAGCTTAATTGTGTGGCAGGGTGCATTATCCTTCTGAAAAAGGCCACTGCCATCAGGGAACACCGTTTCCATGAAAGGTTGTATTTGGTCAGCAACAATATTTAGGTCGGTGGTGCGTGTCAAAGTAACATCCCCATGAATGGCAGGACCCAAGGTTTTCTTTCCATACAAGTCCAAAGGAACACAAAAGCAGCTTGAAGGTGCCTAGAAGGAGGTCATTTGTAGGTCAAAGGAAGTAAACTGCATGTCAAATGAACCCAAGAAGGAATGCAGTGTAACTTAAAAGTAGGGATGCACTGAAATTTCGGAGGAAATGGCACTTTGGGCAAATGCCGAAAGTACCATCTTTCGGCTGAAATTGAGATGCATTTCTAATTTCTCTCCTCCTCGCTGGGCGCTGCTTTGTGTCCCCTATGACACAGCGCAGCGTCCAACGGGGAAGAGAGAAACTGTCAGGAGGCCAAGCAGGGTGGGGAGGAGAGCGCTGTGAACTGATCAGTGATCGCTGACTGTTTGAAAATAATTGAGGAGATAGTATGTTTACAGTGTCCCCAATTATGAATGAACAGGAAGTGCTCTACATCACTGCCTGTTCATTCATGATTGTGGTTATAGTAAACATACCATGTTCTCATGTTATGAATGAACAGGAACACTTAGAGGCTTCCTGTTCATTTATAACAGGGGCTGCAGGAAAAAAAAAAAGTTTAGGGACTGTGTCCTTACTCTTTTCTATTTTAAAAGTGAAATATCAGGAGTCTCTTTAGACACCTAACATTTCCCCAGACCCCTGACAATAAAATAAAAAAAATATCTTTAATACATTTTTTTTTTAAAGTTTAGAAAAAATAAAAAATATTAAAATTTTGTAAAAACTGTTTAAAAAAATTAAATAATTTTCGGTCTGACATTTTAAAAATTTTCGGTTTTGGTTTCAAATTTTAATTTCGGTTCACCTCTACTTAAAATTGTCTCAAACATAAGAGGAACGAAAATGAGCAAATGCTGCATTATTTTTCCCATCATGTTTTAACAGATCAAGTAAAAAAAAAATACATTAACATGCATGTTAGTATACACAGTTTTAGGGTTGCCGTCTTCAATGGGTATACCCAGGTATTAAGCAAATTTTACCAAAAACCTCCCTCTCTAAAGCATGTCCCAGTTTTATATTTCGTACCTTGTTCCTTTAGCGAACAGCTTTTGTTACTCTTTGTGGCATCACCACAAGAACCCTTCACTTTCAAGAGCCTACACTCTGTGAAGTAAAGGCAGCAGCTTTGGTTTGCTGGAAAAGAAGTCAATGAATGCACGTGGAGTGAGACAAAAAGATGAGTGATAAGCAGAGTTCTGCAGTTCAGCATGTAGGGCTTACAACTCTGGCTGGGATTAGTGATGAGGCTGGGCTTGGTGCGAACCCAGTTTATCCGAATTCGGCCACTCAAATCTCTGACCGCCATCCCGTCCTCCTGACTCAATCAGTTTTGAAAGTTGCGGCAGGGGTTTCCCCGCCCTGCAGCTATCCGTCACAAATTGGGTCCAACTGATTGGGTTGAAGTTGCTGGTGGCTGTAAGAGGTTTCTGCGGGCCTGTGTGAACTCAAGTGAACTGCTCACACCAAGCCCCAGTCTCATCACTAGTTGGCATGTTGTCAGAAAGGAAGTCAGGAGCACAACGGATTTATGGTGGATTAATGAGTATTTTTCAACAATTAACCCCTTCGTGACTGACGACGTACAGTGTACGTCGCCAGCATCGGGGACACTAGCGGGGATGGGGCGGGTACAGCTGGCTCTGCCTCTAGATAGGCAGAGCCAGCTGTCACTCACGCAGCTAGGCGGATCCAGACATAATTGTCGGGATCCGCTTCAGCGTCTCAGTATACCGTGACCTGTAGCTCTCAGTATACTGAGCTTAGGGTGATGGGAGGACGCTAGTTTGTGTCCTCCCGTTAACCTAAGGAAAACTATGGGGAAAAGCCCTAACCCCATAGTTCTCCTTTAAAATAGGTTTTTAAAGGTATGAAAAAAAATGGTAAAATGTGCATGTCTTATAGAAATGTATTGAATTTGGCCAAATATACACATTAGCCAAACATTTATCACATTTCTCTTTCCTGTACAATTACAGTAAATCTGTGGAAGAACAGCAATAAACAATCTGCTTGTGAGAAGTTGAAAGCTAAATCTACTAGATGAAACAAAAACTTTTTTTAATAAACTTGTAACAAATTTCTCAGCTGAAAAGTGAAAGCTGCAAACTCACATTGCTCAACAACCAGCAAATGGATCTCAAGCAATGGATTTTGGAACAAGATAACCCACCATGTTCTGAAGCCTCCTTTCTTCTCGGTCTGTCTCGCTGTGCAGATACAACAGAATCTGTCTCAGTGTCATTGTCCAGATTTTCTTGGCTGCCTCGTGTATTTGGACTGTGAACAGAAAGGTCAAAGTTAAAATATGGCCAACTGTTCAGGATAATACGTTTCATTTCATAATATCAGTGTCTTGCAAAATATACAACACTTATAATACAATAACAACACAATAAATATAGAGAGAGGTATGTAATTAAAGAATGTTAACAGATACAATCATGGTTAGAGTATTGTGACAGCCACAGGTGCCGGTGTTCTATCGAAAGTTCCAACTCCTCGAGTTCTCCAACTGCCTGAGTTCCGGTTTAGTTAGAACCAAGAGGTTTGGGCAAGAAAGCTCTTCTGCATGAGCGCCAGCCGCGGCATTGCCCTATACACATACACCACAGCAATGAAGTATTAAAATGAACTAGGATGACAATAATCCAGCACGTTATTAATCTCAGGTGCCCCACTCAAGTGGCGGCCATATTGAGGGGCACCTGAGATTAATAACGTGCTGGATTAGTGCGATCCTAGTTCATTGCCCGTTTCTTGATTCCCGGGCAATCAAGAAGCGGAGGGTAATGACACGCCGCCCAGCTTCTTGATGGCCCGGGAAGCCGGCTACAGGCTGATTGGCCAAGAAGCCAGCTTCATGACCAATGAGCATCAAGCCAGCTGTTTGATCGCTGACTACCCGCCACCCTGATTGGCCATGGAAGCCGGCTCCACGCTGATTGTCTTTGAAGCCCGCTTCCCGGCCAGTCAACATCAAGCCGGCCAAACAGCATGGAGCCGGCCTCCCGGCCAACCTGGAAGCAAGGCTGAGAGTCATTATCCGCTGCCCGGCTTCGCGATTGGTCGGGAAGCCGGCTTCATGTTCCCCCGCGGCACAGCCGGTCAGAGGAAATCTCTTCTGACCCGAAGTTCCGGTATGGGGTAAAGTATCAGAGCAAAATACTCGGTATCGGTGCATCCCTATATAAAAGCTACCGTCCCTTCCATAAATGTTAAGTAGCTAAAAGGTAACATGATAGGTTGCTACAAAAATCAGAGCTCTTTGGTCAAAACATGCAGAATTTTAATTGCACTGAACTGGAGGAATGCGAAGAATTCAAAAATACTGTATTTCTATGGATCCTGAATTAGGTGAAAATTAATATATTAGGCATTACTCAACGTATTAAAGCGGTACTCCGGACAAACATGAAAATCACTGTGCATAGTTCAAAACTATTATTAAACATTCTTAAAAGGTTTATAAACCCTCAGCTTTTTTTGCACATATCTACTGCTAGTAAGCAGTAGATATATGCAAAAAGTTTATTAAAAAAAAAAAAACGCTTTAACAGCGGTTTAAACTTACCTGTGTGTTCCCTGCGCGCTCCCGTCCGAAAACGTGAAACTGCATGGGCGGCCGCAAAGCATCTTGGAGCGTGCCCATGCGCAGTTCACATTTTCGGCCGGGATCTGAGGAAAGACACAAGGTAAGTCTATGGACGCGTGCACCCGCATGCAGACACCATGGGAGAGTACGTGCCAGAAAGCTCAGAGGAGTCAGCACTGGATCGGAGATTCGCCGCAGCGCTGGAGAGAAGGCTGAAAATTACAGGAAAGAAGATGATGATTGGATTAAGGTAAGTGCTTTAATTAACGTTGGGGTGAGGGGAAAAAAATTGCCTTTAATGTCACTTTCAGTCAATGTTTCAAGTCATTTCCTAGTACTTTCAATGACCTGTTAATCCTTCCTGTTTAGTGAGTTTTGGCAACAAGCTGAAAACACCATTCAAATTGAGAATGCCTCAGTGTTGTTTTTGCCTGGCAGATACCTCTTCTCATTTACTGAATTCACCACAGATGCATACATTTGGATGGGCTCCTTCTCTTCCCTCTGCTGTACATCTGCCCCTTTTATAGTCTCCACCCAAATGAAGGGACACCGAACATCAACAGGCCCCTAACAGCTCATTCTTTCCTCTCTGCCTTTAAGTCAGCCCCCCTGATCATTGTTGCCCGTCATATGCAAATGAAGGGCACAAAACACAGGCTTTGCGGTCATATGACTTCACATCAAGCGCAAAAATAAAAAAAGGTATTGAAGGAGACTTTTTTTTTATTTTCCAATTAAGAAAGTGACAAAGCAATGAAAAAAGTGCTAAGGGGCAGTTGGTGTATTTTGCCTTTCCATCTGCTTTAACCAGATGCTACCCCTATATAAGCTAGCAAATGAGGTCGGGGGTACCCTGGCAAGTATGAAAATCTAGCCAGACTGGGTAAACTCATCTAATATCTGTGATTAGCTGCATGGCTCCTGAGAAACCACTTGTCCCCAATTTCTTGTTAACTAGGTGGTGACTTATAAGTGTCTCAGAGGTATAAAAGGTAAATAGGTAGATACGAAAAATGTCATATATTCCTTACACAAATTTTTTTTATTGTTTGTAACAGAGACAAACTGTGCAGCACAAATGTTTATCCTTATTAAGTGAACTTCCATCATGCCAGATATTTGTGCACTGACACTAATGCACATGCATACATTCTCTTCTTTATACTGGATATAGTACGGATAATATCTGTACACGTTTACTAATATGCAATTCATTTTACTTCAAAAAGAAAAAAAAAAACAACAAGACCACAACATTTTAATACCTAGTTAGTGTAAAAGAAGGAACATATTGAATAAATGCAAAATATCCAAAGATAATGCTAGAGGCTTGTTCTGGTTCAAGCTTGTAGGGGACAGAGTTAAATATCGTGAATTATATAAATGGACAAACAACTATAAAACATGATGATTGATTAGGTAAAATATTTGTTATTGTCCATAGCTGGTTGTAAGTCTGTAAAAAGATGGATGAACATAAGCAAATCTAACAGATGGACTTGGGTTCTGTTATTGCCAAATCCCGGAACACTATACATATGCCAACACACTATGCTAGGCGACATGTACCCCATACATCACTTTTACACAAAGGCGTTTCTGTCAAACCATGGCAGAAATGTGGGTACCACTTGCCATGCTGTTGAGGCATCTGCCTAGATCATGCAACTAGTAGAATCAGATGTCACAATTTAAGCAGAGAAGAAAAAAAAAAACATCATATTTATGATGTTACACATAAAATATCTGTATGTCAGATTCTCAAACCATTGTATTTTGATTAGATCATATTAAAGCTCATGAAGTCTGAATTCAAGAGGAAAGAAACAAAAAAGTTCTGAGGATGCACCACACTATTCAAAGTAGTAACATTTTAGTTTAAAAGTAGAAATTTGGAAAAGCCCCAGAACAAGAATGTATTCCAAAGTAAGGTCAAGCCTAGCAAATGACTATTGGATTCTCAGCAGGCATTGCTAACCAAAAGGTACCCATAGCCAGGCCTGTGTCTCAACATGAAAAACAGCACTTGGCGTATGGTCGAATTTTTTTAAAAAAACCCCCAAACACAGTTTACTCTTCTCTTCATAAGAAAAGATAACATCCATGACCACAATAGTTAGAAATGTCTTTATGTTTTAATTAATCTTTCTCAATGTTTCGGTCTGATGGCTGGAAATGCTACTTTGAGCCTCCTTCATAGCTGGACCCACACTGCAGATGACAAAGTTGGGCCCCCTTAGGACCATAAATCTAAAAAAGGTAACCACACTCAGCCAGAATGCAGGGACTCAGGCAATCTGCATAAATCAAGGAGCTATCTGGTCAAGTATGAAGCAGAAAGTGCAGTCACTGACCTATTTAACCTAGTGGCCAATGCTGAGCATTGGGGCGAGTACTCATATTTGCCCAAATGCTCCGATACTTACCCCTCTGACCGGCAGTGCCGTGAGGGAGCATGGAGCCGGCTTCTTGATTGGCTAGGAATCCAGCTTCATGACCAATCAGGAAGCCAGACTGCCTGTCATAGGGGTACCGTATATACTCGAGTATAAGCCGAGATTTTCAGCCCATTTTTTTGGGTGAAAAGTGCCCCCCTCGGCTTATACTCGAGTCAGCGCCAGCGGGTCTTCTTACTTACCTCGCCGAGCGTCGCGTCACTGCTGCTCGGTGTGCGGCGCTCCGAGCGGGGTCATCTGGCAGTCTCCGGGTCCTAATTTAGACGGAGCATTAAGGCGAATACGAGTACTCGTCCCAATGTTCACCATTGGCACCGATGCCAGTATCGGTACATCCCTACTTACAGCTAGCAGTTTTAAAAACTTGACCTTGTGTAGAAAACACTGCATTTCAATTTTCCTTCAAGGCAGAATTTTCCCAACCCAATCATCTTAAATGCCAATAATCTGAAAGTAATATTCTCTAATTCGAGATGTGAAATCACAAGCGAATGTCCAGTGTTTACTTACTGAAATGACGGAGGACGAGAATCTCCAATTCCTCCGGTCCTTTCAATTGGTGGAGGCAAGTCAGATTGAAGATCAGCACAGACGGAGCCAGCATCAGATTGCGAGCCGTCGGCAGATACAAGCTGTTAAGGCAATACATAACATGACAGAAATTAGTGAGTGTATTCTTATCAGTGAGGCGAAAACCAAGAGATGCTTAGAGTTTTTCAGCTCATCACCAAGGTACTTCTACAAAGAAAGTAAATGTCTGTTCTGGTGGCAGAACATACATACTAACTTCTACTTCAAAAAGGTATATTTTTAATTTACTGCATAGTTTCCTTAATGGGACACAAAATTATAATGTTAAAAACATAGAGACTACATTTATATACAGCTAGAAACCCGACTATAAACCTGAAATGAATAAAGGAAAGTGATTTTTTTTTAAACCACAAAAAAAAAGGTCTCCAGGAATAAACGTATTACCTCATGTGACACAAAATAATAAAAGACATTTTGTCAGCCATATTGTTGGAACACACAAACAGACATCCTGTGACTCATAACTCACATATGCAGAAGGCTAGAGGACAGGGAAGTGATAAAATTAACATAGAAACTAGATTATACCTTTAAATAATTGTCATTATCTAGCTATGATGGTAGACCTTGTGAAAAGTCAACTTTCTCTCTTTTAGGGGAATAGGGGTAAATGAATCCGAGGGGCTTCTGTCTCTCAAGACCTGGGCTTTAAGCTGGTGACCGTGAAGCAATATGGTGAACCGGTCCCTGGGACAGAATTGTCTGGACAACCTGGGAGGGACCACAGAAGGTCTGAGTATCATGCCCTCCTGGCCCAATCCTGTGCTATGAGAATCACAGAGATGCCTTCCAACTTGATCCTGTGCAGCAAATAAAGGAGAGGCCATGGTGTTGGAAAGGCACAGATCAGAGTGAACTGATCCCACAGAGTCACCAAAGCATCCAATGGGAATGCACAAGGATACCTGCTCCTGGCAACAAACCTGTCCCCTTTGTTGTTGAACCTGGACAATAGAAGGCCCATGTCTGGCTTTCCCCACCTGCGACAGATCTCCACACTACTTCCACTTCCCAGGAACTAGACATTGAAAATGGAGGCAGTCTATCCAAAATGAGGTCCGCTTCTTTTTGAACTGCATGACACTTCCTGCTACCTTGTCGGTTGATGTAAGCCAGGGCGTTATCTGGTCAGATGCTCTCACAGCTGAGATGTCCAAGGATGAAGGGATAACCGAATCACCTTCAGTTCCAAGACGTTGATGGGGAGCCTGGCTACCTTCAACGACCAAGTACCGTATACCCTGAGAGACCGGCATCCTTTGTGAGGATTTTACAAGTTAGTTACTCGAAGAAAGAATTTTCCTGACTCCAGCACCATAGTATGGAGAGCGTGGGCTTGATGGGCAGACAGGATACCGAGTTGCAAAAGTCTACAGTGAAACTGGACATATGGCACTACCTCAAACTGAAGTCACTATCAGACTCACAGCCCTCATGCAAAAGGGAACTGAGGGGTGACTCTAGGACTGAAGTCTCAGAACCTGCGAGTCTACACTGTCTTTAATACCTTGTTATTGGTCAGGACTTGGGCTGACAGACACAGACACAGGCACAGACAGAGAGAGAGAGAGACTGATTGCTCTCAGATTTTCTCAACATCCATGACATTATTAGAGCTGCAACAGTTATTCGATTAAGTCGATTAAAATCGCCGATGGAAAACGTTGTCAACGTTTTCCATCGTCGATTCATCGGCTAAAATTCAAATTTCCCGCTCGCCGCTTACGCCACATCCACGGCGTTTAAGCCGCTCGCGCCTACGCCGGTATACCCGCTCACGCGACGCCGCTTACGCCACGCACACGCTGAGGACATGTGTCTGGCCCTCTCCTCCCGGTGAGCTGCCCGATTCGCCGCTGCCCGCCGACATGATCAACGCCGCTGCCCGCCGACAACACCAAGGTAAGTGGAGATCGGCCGGGAGCTTTTTAATGCTGCCTGTGTGTATACTGCGCCGCTGTATAATGTACTATATTGCACACTAAACTCTTTTTTTACTTCCACCACGCCAAGCTTGCTCCCGTGATGGACTACAATCTCAATAGAAACTAGTAGTCCATCACTGGAGCCTTTTTTTTTTTAATCCGATTAATCGATTAATCGAACTTAATAAATCGGCTAACTAATCGATTATGAAAATAATCGTTAGCTGCAGCCCTAGACATTATCTTCATCATTAAGGGTAATCAACTACTAGATTGTGCAAGGAGAGTAATAATATCGACTTCCGGGTGTCCAAAGCACAGACGGGTGTATATGCACTACCTCCTAGCTTCCAAAGATTCCAAGAAGACCATCTTGAGCGTGCAGCAGGCCCCGCCCCATAGCATCCTCAAGCTCCATAAAAATCCACTGCGTCAGCGGTAGGGCTTGCCCCATAGTGTCCCCAGACTCTACGGAGACTGGCTGTGTATACAGTTAGTCCACCCATCCCTTATTTCTCCTAGCAGTGTACGTAGGCTCACCCTCATGTGTAAAAGCAGATCAACAGGAGGGACATGACGGGCATGGGAGGCTAGAAAAGATGGATAGCCCCTGTTCATTAGGATTTTGAACCCAGAATCCTTTGGAGGTGGATGTTATCTCTATGACATGTATATCATCACATGGGCTTTTATCTTTTTATACTATGTTAATAAATTGTACTTCATAAAGACAGCAGTGTAGTTGTGGTTTTTCTCTCCTGCATTTGTTGAAGACTTCTAGGTTGGATTCAGGCAGCTGTGGTTGTCAGTGAAGAAAGTACCTTGGATGTGGGCTGGTCATAATTATGGTGGCGCCAGAGATTTGGCATCTAATGTTGGCATATGATATATAAGGTTTAAGTAGAAACCCTGAAACTTCTCCCTCTGAAACAAACAGAGTGAAAATCCCCCAAGACCTAAGCTGAGCGAATAGAATGCAAGCTAGAAAGCATAAAGTGGGAAGGTGTTCGAAACTCCCGTTTGTATCCTCGGGACACGATACTCTTGACCCAGGGTTCCTAAACGCCATGGACCCAGATTCCGAAAAGAACGACTTTTACATGTGGGGCCATCTCTGTATTGTGAGGAAGGCTTTGTCTGGGACTTAGGTTTACCAGACATGGTCTTTCTGCAAAATAGGATGCCTGGATTGGACTTGGGGCTTGAGAAAGGTGAAAGAAACTCTTTCAGTATCAGAAACACCAGACTTTTCTATGGGAGCCTTTGCCTTCTTCTTTGAAGGATTTCCTTAAAGCAGGTATCTGGGGGTAAACAAAAATGGCACCACCCTTCAAAAGGGCATCCTTTCAAGCAGCTTTTTGCAGCTTGGAAAGCTTGGCAGACCAGCAATTAAAGTGGACCTTGACCCCTTTTTACTAAAAATTACATCAGGGTGCTCCTCCCACTTCCTGGCCACCTTAGACCAGGGGTGCCCACAAGGTCGATCGCGATCTACCAGTCGATCGTGTAGGGCTTCTCTGGCTCCCCGCTGCTCTCCCCATCTGTATGCAGCGGGGATCCGAGAAGAAGTGAAAGAACCGCTGCAGCCCACGGCGGAGGACGGAGCCTCTGTCATAGAACTAATGCCGAGCAGTGAGGAGAGAGAGAGACGCTCTGGCTGGGTCTGACAGGCGGCGCCTCTCTCTCCTCTCTCTTCACTGTTGTCTAGTACTATGCGTCCCCAGTTATGAATGAACAGTATATGATTTATATCACTTCCTGTTCATTCATGAGCTTTTTAATGGGGAGAAGCACTCTGTATAGAGGCCCCTCCTCATTCAGAAACTGGTGATAGTAAATAGTTTCTGAATGAATGGGAAGCCTCTGTGCTTTCCATTCATTTAGAATAGAGGCTGCAGAAAAAGAGAGATTGAGGACTTTGTGTCCTCAATTTCTTTTTCGATTTTAAAAGGGAAATATCAGGGGGTTGTTTGGACCCCTAATATTTCCCCGAAGCCCCCCCAAGGGTAAAAATAAATTAAAATGAAAAATAAGAAAATGAAAATAAAATAAAAAATAGTAAAAAAAGAAAAAAAAAAGTTTTTTCTTTTTCTTGCCTCAGGCGCTAAAGGAGCTGCCTGCGGCTATGTCCCCGCGCTGCTCATGTGCCTGCCGGCTCAATGTGTCAGACACTACAGATGGAAAGGGGCGGGACACCTCTCCCCATGTGCAACGTCGGCCACACGAGCATCACGGGAGGACAGGACGTCAACACCTCTAGGGCACACTGGAATGTAAGCCGGCTGACTCCCTGCGTTCAGGTGCGGGAGGGGGTGTGGGGTTGTATTGAAGTCAATGGCACCGCAGCCATGCCCCCCGCCCACAGTGTGATCGCTCGCACCCGGAACGCAGGCACATTAGTGCCTGCATTCCGGTCTAGTGCAATCTGAAAAAATAGTGCTTGCAGCATTTTTGCGGATCGCACTGCACTGGAATGCAGGCACTAACGCAGGCGATCGCACTGTGGGCGAGGGGCCTGCCTGCAGAGCCTGGCTATGGTGCCATTGACTTCAATGCACCGCCGCGCCCCCTCCCGCCCCTGAATGTGGGTGTTTTTTCATTGGTAGATCTCAGTGAGCTCGTCATTTGAAAAAGTAGATCTCCAGACAAAAAATTGTGGGCGCCCCTGCCTTAGACATTAATAATGTAGCCTGTGCCCAAGTTGCATACTGGGAAGGTCACATCACAGTGCATTGCTGGGAAATATCATCTGTAAACTGCAGGATCTCAGAAAAAAGACACTTTTACCCTGAGATGATGTGCATGATCACATGTCCTAGTCACATGCGCCAGAGTTCCATTAGTAAAAAAAAAAAAAATGGCCACTGTGAGAAGGGGGAGTAAAGAAAAATAAGGTATCCGTTTGCAGATTGCCATTACTAAATGTTTCTAAAGGTGCCTTTGTTGTCTTTTTAAAGAGAAGGGTAAAGTTCCTCTTTAAGCCAGTGAATCCTTTGTATTCGAAAATAGGAGGCACATTCTAGAAATTTGGTAAACTGCATCAGCCAACCCTCCACATAATAGCACAGGGCCATGCACATGAGTTCCAAGTGCTAGGGGACAGAAGGATTTGTCAAGATAGATCCAGGATCCCTGCTCTTAGGTCTAGTCAAGACAACAGCCTCTCAGACTGCCATAGATTCAAATGCAGGTTGCATGGCCAGACCCATTAGTGAGAATAAGGCCTTAAAGAGGGCTTCCAATCTCTTGTCTACTGGAGTCTTATAAACAGGAACATGCTCCACAAGGGTCATTATCTGTTTTTGTTCAAACATGAAATGGAGGGACCCACTACAGCAGCCGATAATTTTTTACAGGAGACCAATAGGACATCAATGGAATGACTAACACCGCCGGGACTCTGTCTACAATTGTAAAGTCGACTGTCTGCTTTACAATAGAAGCAATTCTGCGAACTCACCTCTCGCCAGATCAATTCTACAGGTGGGTAAACTTCCCACCGCCTCTCCTGCCCGACACCCCCAACGTGTTTAACGGGCTCTGCTGCCCCATCTACGGGCCCGGGACTGGCATTTCGGGTGTTGGTGGGAAGCTGGGGTGGAGAGCAGCGAACATCCATTCACCGATCTCCTCCCCATACTACGGGACCGGGAGCAGGAGATTACATCACTTTCGGTCCCATAGCTGTTAGTGCTGGGCTCCTGAAGCCGAGCAATAAGCTATTGATCTGCACTTCAATAGTTTATGTAAACGTGGAAATGTGATACTAGGAGTCTTTTGGACCCCAGTATCACCTTAAAGAGGACTTGTCATTGACAATATGCCATCATATAGGGGCTTGTAAGCCCCCCTATGTAAACGCAAATAAAGTTTAAAAAAAAAACTGTTTTTAAAAATATCAAAAAGGAAATAAACGTACAAATAATAAAGAAAATTGTTAAAGTGCCCCACCAGCACGCGCGTCATAACTTGTAATCAGGCACAGAGCATAAGGGTTGGTATTACAATTAGAAATCCATACATGCGCTCCCTCTAGTGGCTCTCCACAGAAGGAACACAAGCACCATCTGTCTGATCACGCTTTAATGCTCTTATATCTACAAAGTCTGTTCAGCCACACAAATAAGAAGGTTTAAAAAGATTAATACAATAAAAATTGCCTATGTATTTAAAAATTACTGCAAAAAATACCAAGACTAGAAAATACTTTTTGGTACATATTTTTAGTATATTCCCCACCTATTAATATTACCTATAAATTATGTCATTTTTCTGTAGTGGATTGGGAATGTCAGTGGCGGTCAACTTTGAGAATATCAAAAGGCTTCAGGTACAGCCCCCCAAATGTCCAGAGGACCACACAGTAAAATATATTCTTAAAGACAGACAGCAGACAGGTAAATGAACAGATCAACACTGCATTTTGCAAAAGTGTTTTCATGTGTTGAGGGGCACTGACCTCCCACAGGTGTCACTAAAACAGGTGCTCCAACTAGAAAGTATTTTTCTTTATAACCGTTTTAGTGACCACTATAAAATTTTTGGATTTACCCTCACTTTCTCTCCTGGAGACAATGGTAACCAGGACATATAGGGAGGTTAATCTTCCCAATGTGGACACAAATACCAATAAAAAACAAAACAGGCGGTTCTAACTCTTCTCCCTAACCAAATCTAGAAAAACAAATGTTTTGGTTTGAGTTATAATGGAAGAGGGAAAAAAGGAGGTTTTAAAGGGTCTGATTACTTGCAAAGAAAGAAGAAAACTAAAAATATTTTTCCCTCAAAAAGACCCCTCAAAAAAACAAACATAACTTACCCAACAAACAACTCTTCCATTGAAACAGGGCAGCTTTGCATTGTCATCAGAGATCTCTTCTTTAACCACCCTGGAAACAGGATAAAAATGATTATTGAAATGTTACACAGCTATATATAATTCTACCAATATGTCCAGAAATCCACCAGTCCTTAAGTGGACCCATCATTAAAATTCACTCCTCAAAAAAGTAAGGACATTAGTGTAAGCAATAACAAACCAGGAGTAATATTTTAATAAAAGAAAAAAAAAAACCTCCTTATAGATGCTTAAAAGGAGAACTATGAGATGAGTGCTTTTCACTCACCTCATAGTTCTAGCCGACATGTGATAATGAGACTATCACAGGTCGGCTCAGTAGATCGGGAGGTGAGCGAACACATACCAGCGTTCCCTCACCTCTCGATCCTGTCACAGCTCTCTGCTGTGACAGGGGAGTGGTTGGATTCGCCCCTCCCCGCTCCGATCCTCCACCCCTGACTGGCGGAACGGACCGGGGAGGGGACGGGTACAGCTGGCTCTGCCTCTACATAGGCAGAGCCAGCTGTAACTCACGCAGCTGGGCGGATCCAGACATAATTGTCGGGATCCGCTTCAGCTGCGGCATTTCAGTATACCGCGAGCTGTAGCTCGCGGTATACTGCGGCGTCTCAGTATACCGCGGCGTCTCACTATACCGCGAGCTGTAGCTCGCGTTATACTCAGCTTAGGGTGACGGGAGGACGCTAGTTTCTGTCCTCCCGTTACCCTAAGGAGAACTATGGGGAAAAGCCCTAACCCCATAGTTCTCCTTTAAAGCCAATGGGAATGTCATAAGGTTAGTGTTATGGGTTTCTTGGCATTAGAGAGACTGTAAGGAGTAACTTTCAGACAGACCCCATCTGGTAGCCTTGTTCTGATTTAGGCTACATTCACACCTGAGCATTTAACCCCTTCCCGACCGAATATGGGATTATACCATCATGAACATTCATTTAATTAACGACCGGTGGCGGGATAATCCTGTCGTTCGGTACAATGAGCACTGGTCCGTAAAGGGACCAGCAGCTCATTGAGTTACTGCTGTTGATGGGTCCCTCGGGGTCCGAGGCAGACCCTCAACAGCAGATTAGGTGGTCAGAGTCCTGTGATCACAGTGCCATGACAGTCACAGAGCCAGCAGCAGCAGCTCACGGATTTGTAAACAGCTAGCTTGCTGTGTGTTACAAAAGTGATACAAAAGTATCTCTGGAGGAGAATACTGTATTCTACTTGGATATGAAATTATCAAAGCTTGTGTAAATGAAAAAAATAAAATAACCCCTTAGTGCCCCATAGATTTTAAAAAAAAAAAAAATAAAGTTTTTAAAATTAAAAAAAATAAATAATAAAAAAAATATATAGTTTGTTCAGATTCCTGATATTTCCCCAGAACCCCCAACAGTAAAGTAAAAAAAAAAAAATTATTATTATTATTGATATGTAAAAAAAAACAAATTTCAGTTTTGGCCTGATAACATTTGTATTTTCCGTTTCGGCATGAAAATTCCATTTCGGTTTACCTCTAATACATAAAACTAAAGATACATTAACACACTATGGTACGGAATATCATAATATCACTGAGTGCCATAAAATAAAAACACAACAAAGATTATGCCCTAAGCAAAATAAACTAAGAATGCCCTAAGCCCTAAGCAAAATAAACTAGGAATACTAATTAAATTTATTGAGAGCTAGGAATTTAATCTACTTCTCTTGTGTAATACGATAATGCAAATTCACAAACAACCAACTATGCTGTTTAGACACTTTACAGATACACTGCAGGAAAAATGAATCTACCAAGACAGAAATTCTTTAACAAGGGACTTCCCAATCTAAACTATAAAAAAATATAATTTGTGCCCTGACATGCTTTTTTGCAGCATTAGGTTTAATAAAAAGGTCAAACAGAGTTGATGTGTATGTAACCTCTTCGTACCACCATCTTATATTCCATTTTAAAAGTTCATCCTCTACTTTGTATTATGCACTAATAAAGAGAAGTGCATCAAGAGGCATAAAAAGCATTTGTTAATGTGCATTAGAAAACATGAGTAGAGTTTCATGCATAAATAGGAAGGGAAATGTAGACTATGGTATACTTGAGCCCGGCGTGTGTTCTATAGAGTCGGGGCTATCGCTATAATGAAGCAGAGATTGCCTCAGACGGCATCTCCTTGGGACACATGGGGTGGTGGCAGCTGCCCCTCCTGCCCCCTTTCTTGCCTGAGCATCTCAGCTTGCTAAGAGCTCTTAGCAACCTGTGACGCTCTGGCTGGTGTCCCGCCTGGCTCCTGGCAACCAGTGATGTCAGTGGCCTCCGGCGGCTATAAGTCTAGGGACGCCCCTGTACAGAGTTTTATATAAAAAAAAAAAAAAACAACAACCATACACATGTGCAAACAGAAACTTTGTTTTACAAATGAACGCTTAATACATGCCAAAACTGTGCACTATACACAGCACTATGAGTTATCTAAAAAGGCAGTAAAGCACAAGCTTCTTTTTTGAATCACCATCTGTCTGACTGAAACCTCGGACACAGCTTTCCAAACATGGACAAGTCACCAAATGTAAATAATGGACTACTTCCTGCAAAAAGGATAAGCAGACTGAGAACAACATAAGAAAAGCATAATGCTCAACCTGCTGGTTTGAAAGAAGAGAGATTAAATGGGTCAGCCCCAATTCACGTGTGTGTGTGTGTGTGTTCTTACACATACCAAAGTGTGCGCGTTGCAGAACATTCACGCAAAGTGATCAAAATTCAGATGGGCCCACAAGGTTCTATCACGTCCTCTCCCCCCAGGCAATCCTCCTCGGTCATTGTTGATTCGGCTTTTGAGTTCATTCATAACTGGATCCAAGGTTTTGCTGTTCCCTGGCTTTTCCCAGGAAACTCAGAAAAAGGGCACAACATTTCAAGAGGTGAAGAAATGCCTTCAACAACTACAGTTCCCATACTCAATGGTTTACCCTGCTAAGCTGTGGGTTGTGGCGGATGGAGAAACCCATTTTTTGAGATGCCTTCTCAGGCCTCATCCTGACTGGACAAATATGCCAAGAAAAAGCAATGGAAACCATGACCGATTTTGTGCTATCCTAGTTTGTGACTCTCATACTGTCACTGAGTTGCAACCTATATGCAGTATTTTATCCGCTTGTCTGAGGTTTTTCAATATCTTTGCAAATTGCTGTAAGGTTCTCCCCATTATTAGATCTTAAGGCTTTTTTCCAACATTTGCTGCTAATAACATCTTTGCAGCTTCTTGTTGGTGATCTACATAGCATTATTTGCACCCACATGTGCTCCTGCGTGTACGGTTCTCCCTATACCCATTTTTTGTTGATTAACTCTTTATTAATGTACGTTTAACTGTTCTTTTTACACCAACCATTGCCGTATATTTTCAGGACACTAGTCTTTATCTGGGCACTACTACCACTTAGCTGGAATGTTATTACCTGTGCATTCATTTATTTCTCTGTGCTATTTTTTTTTTTTATCATCTACCCATGCTTATACTACAGCGACTGCTGGAATAATGTGAGCTTGTTCTTCATTTACAACTTGTCATGCCTGAAGCTAGAGTTAAATTTTATATCTTGAAATGTAAGGGGTCTGGGAGATCCAGTGAAAAGGCGTGCAATATTTACCTGCTTACTCATACATAAACCTTCCATCGTCTGTCTACAGGAGACACATACCAGCAAAGAAACGTGTAAACTGGTGGAGCGGAAGTTCTGCTAGCAAGCATTTCATTCCTTCTTCTCTGCATACGTGAGAGGAGTGTCTATACTCAGTCACAAAAATGTACCATTCTCCTGTATACAGACGAAAATAGATGCTCATGCGCGTTTTCTATTTCTTCACTGTCGTTTGTACAATATGGAATGTGTTGTTGCTAATATCTATATTCTACTCTAATGTTGGACTTACAGAACTGGCCCGTTTCCCTGTGGACAAACTCCCAATATTGGTAATGGGAGATTTCAATAATGGTATGGACCAACATAGAGATAAATTCCAATCTTGTTATATTCCAGGAGTTACCAACTTATCTGCCTTTGCCAAGTTGTGTCTAGAAATGGGTCTGTCAGATATATGGCGTCTTTTACATCTAACTGAGCAGCAATATATACTTGCCATTCCAAAACACACAATGCATTATCCCGCATTGATTATGTATTGAGATCTTCTGAAATCTTGCCATATGGCACCGATGTTGAAATTCAGCCCAGATGTCTGTCGGACCATTTCATGTTATCGGCCCGGCTCACTTTAGGTCAACAATTCTCCTCTACTCCGTGGCGCCTAAACCCCTTTTGGTTATCATTGATATGTGAACGTGCATCATTGGAGGCCGATATTTCCTTCTTTTAGTCTTTTAATGTAACTTCTACTTTTGGATTACTGGTTTGGGATACCTTGAAAGCTTACCTTAGAGGTCTTTTCATAAAACATATTAGTTACATTAAGTCAGCCAACATGAATGTGTAGCTTGTCATGCAGTTGCCGATAGTAAAAAGACATGTATATCTCACCCATCTGAAGTTATACAAGCTGCTTGGACTAAGGCCACCAGTGACCTTGCGTCTCTGGTGCATACAAGATCACAAACCAAGCTATTTTTTTTACGAAGAGAGTGTTCTGGGCTGAGGGGGATGCCCCGGGTAGACTTCTGGCCCAGATTGCTCGCTCTCAACAATCATCTGCCTATATTGGGTCCAGCAGAGATACATCTGGCTCTATATGTACAGATAATCATTGCATAATGAATATTTTCTCCCAATTTTATGCCCAACTATATACCTCTAAAGCAACATACTCCGATATTGATCTTGAGAGGGATCTCTCAGGAATAACTTTACCTACTTTATCTACGTTAGATACATAAGATTTAGAGGCTCCTATTACTTTATAGGAGATGGAGCGCACGATTGCTAGCTTCCCAAATGGCAAGGCCACTGGTCCTGATGGATCGCCAAAAGTCTATAGGAGCTATAAACAATCTATCCTTCCTCTTTTACTACAAACACTAGACT